GCAACAACTGGGTTACTGTAGGCGGACGAATTAGCATCAAATGCTCCGCTCACTCCTCCCCTCATTTAAAAAGATCATGGCTGGTTTCATCAATGCAATGAAAGACAATCTAAAATCGTTTGCAAAATCATAAAATTTGCTGTATTCATCTGTGCTCCCGAAAAACCGCCGTTTTTCTCTCACAAATTTTATTAAAAGCGGAGTTTATAATGAAAAGGCAGCCCAACAAAAATGATGGAGAGGGGGCATTAGTGAAGCAGGGATGACAAAAAACCATGAGATATACTCTCGAACCGGGGAAGTGCGAGCCCCTCTTTACTAACCAGCAGGCGTATGGAGACGCGAACGGTGCGGGCATGGCCCTACTAGGCCGCTGAGAGCATATCTTCGCTGCAAAACGCGCATTATTCCAGGTCGCAAGGGAGCATGGAAATGCATTCGACTAGACATATCTTTCCCTCTTTAACTTCCGACCTTATTGTGGAATCCTCCTTTAGGAGAACACCAAATTATTATATCGGATTTTCAGCGGTGTTCTATGGAACTCCGCTAGTTATTCTTAAGGAATAATATCTTTCCAAAATCTCAAATTCTATGCGATTTAGAAGATAATCACCTAAAATTCTGAGCTAACAAATCTCAGTTAGAGCAATAAAATTTTTCCTTCAGGCAGATTGAAGAAAACTTTCAGATGGAGTTTCTATGGTTGCGAGAAAAGCCCTTTCAACAAAGATTCTGCTTCCGCTTATTCAAAGCAAATGCAGACAATACTGTCGAATCAATTTCTTTTTTCCGTCGATATCGTTTCGTATTCAGTATTACTATGACATTATTACGAATTTGATATTCAAAAAGCGTCAAAGATGTATAAACAGCGCGAGAGAACGTCATTTTAAGCGATGATGTGTGCAGCAGTAAAAGATGAAACATAATCAACACATCAAGCGCTACTAAGAGAACATGTGCACAGACCCATTTCTTAGAAGGAACCCTCGATGGGATTACCTGAATAAAAATGAAGGCAAAAACTGCTTTCCATGGTCAATGAACTAAAGTGATCTGGGGAATCCTTTTTGAGAAACAGTGGGTGAGTGCCACTACAGCGATGGCTTAAATCTGGGAAAGGCAGTGTACTTCGGATACATGCCATACCCCTCCACCAACGTGAAGGTAAAGTAGAAAAGTATTTTAAAGAGAGGGGCCAACATGATCAAAGGATCGCCCACGATCAACTTTGTGGCTGCACAGCGGTCGATAATGGAGTTGTGGTTGCCCAGTTGACTAAAAATGAAAAATAAGCAAAGAAAACCGTCGATGAAAGTATGAGCGAGTATCCTCTCGAATAGAGAAGGGGCGGATCGGACGAGTTTCACAAACTTGTTTGCTCCATGTCTCCACTAACGCGCGCATATTTGAATTAGCCGCTACGCCGTAATCCACGATGCGTGTCATGAGGTGCGCGCGACCTAACTGGTCCAAGTGCTAAGATTAGTCGCTAAATGCTGGCTCAGTAAGGCCCTAGCGCCATTGTCGCGCAATTTCTAGACGCGCAACGGCACTTCTGTGATACTCTTATCCTAGTCTCTCACCCACTGAATAGATTCTTCTGATTTCTGCTGGAGAGTTGCTTCAAGTATGATTTGTAAAGTGAATTATATCTAGGATTGTCAAGCCTCTAAAATAGAAATCTGGTTTAAAAACTGAATGTGAGTGCGAGAACATTGTTCATACGTAGGCTGAAATTTTGAACAAAGATTCCCACGCAGACGCAATACGCATTCACGTTGCACGCAAGCTCCTCTACAATTCTAACTAAGAGTTGATGGTTGTTTCCTGCCATTTCTTGAGGAAAAGACATAACCATAGAAAAAAAAAGCACTAAAAACAGCAACATATCCTTTGACTATGTTTCAGGTTAAAAAAAAAGGATGCAGCTTTCGGCGTTGATAATGTTGTTTTTGTGATGCACTACGTATTCAAATAAAGAACGAACAACACTGAGGAAATGGTGAGAGAAGAAAAGAAATAGGATAAAGCAGAAAAAAGCAAAAAGTGCACTGCAGAGCACTGTTCAGGCTTGAAAGAAAACGTATCGAGTCTACTGAAGGCCACAAAATTCTCTGGCGTGAGCATGTCCTAAGGAGTGAACTATGTATACATCTTAACAATAGAATTTGGCAAAAATAAAACATTAGGATTTATTGACGTCCTAGAACACATTAGGAAAATCCGAAATTCTTGAGAATCGCTAGGGGAACAGTTGTAGGAAATCGGAGTAATAACACCCGTCATCACGGAATCTTTTTGATAGGAACTATCGACAAGCTAAAAATTGAATTAGTAAACTTAATCGAATGACTTCAACCAAAGGCCATTTGAAATGATTAGCATAGGCTTCATTTACACCCCCGTAATGATACCGATTTCTAACGTCTTCAAGTCGACAGGCCATATTTGTCATAGGAATGCGATCGTTCTGCTTGCAATTTGGAAACAATTCAAAAAAAAAATTCGAAGATTCGTCAAACTTGTCGTTGCAAATTGCCCGTTGACTATGAATTTAGGATTCTGACTCCTTCCGGGTCGTTGCAGAGGGCGATTCCCTCAGGGCGTTAATCAAATAGAGAATTCCACGACAGTGCTATGAGGCATAACCATATCAGAAGGCTCATTGCTTCCTCTTGGACTGAATTTCACTGCAAAATACTTTTGTCTGCTCTTCTTCTAACCCGTTTTATTCCAAATTTCGAGAACTGAACGTCGAGCGAAGAAACAACAGCCTCGCCAGCCCTGATTTTCGACGATCGCCTAGCTGAAGCACGGTGGAACCGCTAGCTGGTGTGCGCTTCTTCAACTATTACATGTACCCTACATCGACTTTATCTCTCTATTTAATGAGTATCTCACGGCAAGTATCATACGCTTAAACGAAGAAAGTCCTCTCAACTTCGATAGGCTGAGTAAATCAAGTTTAACAGCCCGCTATGGAATGTTGTCCTGATGTCGGAGAACAGGTGTCAGTTTAACCGGCGTTTAAGGCCACTGTGTCGATAAGCTCCATAAACCGTTAGCAAAGCAGCAGTTTCCGCCGCTCTTCGATCACATCGGAATTGACAGTATCGAAATTACCTGACGAGAAGCTTGGAAATGAGTAAGTCTTCCGTGCTAATAGAAGGATGTGCAGGAGGCACAGAAAGAACAGAAAGATCTCAGTCTAGCTACGGTTTCTGGGCCGAAAACGATATTTCGAAATCAGGGGTAGGAAGAACTTCGAGGCGCCCTTCGCAAACATGAGAATGGGATTGATCTCTTGAGTCATGTCCATTCTTGTTGCGAGTGATAGGTGTGGTAGATGGGAGGGGGATGAGAAGGGGGAATGGTTTCAAAGCCACCCTCACCTTTCGCTTACACGCCGTCAGACTTCCTAGAAACATACAATATACAAGCGCACTTGCCCAACCAGCGAAAGTTGCGGGTTAGAGCCCCGTCTAGAGCGAATGTTTTGTTCACAACCCAGCATTCTTGTGAAACATCCTACAAATAATTCTGGGGCAGGCAAGGGGGATCCCGAACGAATAGGAGTAGCTATCGCTCTAGAACCTGCCTCAAATACAGTAGCTCGCAGAAATGAAAACTCAGTTGGCCATGGGATCCCACCTCAATACCGAATTCCGCACAAAAGAATTCGACCTTGCAACTTCCGCAACTGCACCCTTTTAACTACGGAAAGCGGGTTCCCTGCAGAATGCACAACCAATCCCTGGGAATTGAAAGTATTCTCTAGCCAGTACACCGACCAGTCACTGTCAGAGAAGCGAAAGACCCTCCCAAAAGCTACTACCCTTTAAAATAGAAGCCGAAGGCGCGGGGTACTCCAGAGAGCAGATCGATTGACGCCAAGGGATCTACTCTTTTACTTGATTTAACTTAGTCACAGCCGCAAGCCATTACCACTGCTCGCGGACGTGCGCTTACCACGAAGCTGTCGGTCTCCTAATAATAAGGAAGTAGCAAGTGTATCGTTGTCCCTCCAAGAAGTTCTGTCGTAGAACGTAAACTGACCACTCACAATGGTGCTTGGAAACACAAGGCGACGAGCGCAGTAGACAATGACCTAATTGAGGCGTACGTACGCGTATGTACGTTAGCACAACTAGAAAACTAATATTACGGTATATACACTTTGATCAAGTACACGCATCAAGAAATACAGGTTTCGTGGCAGCAGCAGCAGCAAGCACACCAACACACACAGACAACCTAAAGCGCTCTCAGTGGTAGGGATGGAGTTTTTCAACGATTTTGAATGATGAAGTCGATTAGGTTCCGAAACAAGACGAAGCCGACATCTACACAAAATAACTACGCAAGCCTGGTGTTTGATAGAACAATGAGCGGGATGCTTGGCGTGAATCAGACACACGAGGATGCGCCATCTATTCGCATTCTATTTAGAATCGTGAAGGTGATTGAATGCACTTGTGACCTGTGAAATGATTTCCAGAATGGAATCAATAATATGCTACCTTTTGCTGTATGAGAAGAATAAGCTGTTGTGCAACCTGCTGCACCGGCACGACGGAGCAGTGCGGGACTTCAAGTGGCTTACAGCCTCTTTGCGCATTTTGGCGCGGGTTAGCTTTCGAGAGGGTGAAACCCTCGATTAAATATTATACGAAAGAAGGAGGAGTAGTAATAGAATCTCCACAATTCTATAACCCATTCGCAACCGCGCAGAATTTTCAATCTGCTCGTTCGGACCAGCTCCGTTTGAGACTATCGCAAAATGGCAGCTACCGACCCGTGGCCGTCATTGTCCTTCGCGACCCTTTCTTTAGGTGAGGTGAAGTGGAAAAAATTAACATTTTCTGCTGAAACTTCCCCCATGACGGCCTCCGATGGATGAAAGGGTCCCAAGTGAGCACCTTCGCATCAGCCACCGGTGGCTGCCATTGTCGCGCATGGGTTTATTAAAATACACTGAACATTCTATGATTCGCCCATCAGTGGTTCAGTGGTCGAATACTCGCCTACCATGAGGGCCGCCCGTGTTCGATATCCTGTCGATGCACCCAAATGTCCCAGGTGGTTCAATAACGCATTATCCCCAACTCATCACTTCATTCTCCCAACAAAGAAGAGAGGGCTTTGGGATAATCCCAGAGCGCTTATACATGCTAACACATTTCATGAAACAAATCTATAATTATCATCATTACCAAATCTATCGCGAAGGATCGCGGTATAAAGATTTGGTAAAACTTTTTTTGGGGGAATGTTATGCTCTCTAGAAAGTTCGACCACGTGGTGAATGATAGCCCAAATCAATAATAATCAGTAGTCAATAGACAATCATCAGCGCAGTGCTGGGTATATTGGATTGCAAGATCGTGTCCGACTCTGGTCAACCAGGGTTTGCATTTTTCTGGATACCTCTAGCTAAGTTTTTTATCACCCGATTTGATTCTGAGGCCCAAGACACTCTTCAAACCTTCAGAAGTCAAATGCGATGGGTATTTTGGAACGATTACCCACGCATTAGCGTTCAATTCCATCAACTTAAGCGTGGGAGGAACCGTATTTGATCTAATCCTTACAAAAAGCAGCCGCGGTGTGGAGATGCGTCGAGCGAAGGCAAAGACAGTGTCTTTCTTCGAGTCTGAGATGGAGTGCACGGCCCATTTCAAGAATTGCTTCTTAATTGCGAGTTCTCTATCTGACCAAAGTAAGTGAGATAAGCAGCAGTTCAACAAAACGATTTTTTTTCTTCTCAATGAATTTTGTGTTGAGGGCTCTTTCCATTTAATGTTTATTGGTGAGCTTTCGCTGTATTAACAGCTTCTTCAGACCTACAAAACGATTTGTACAATTCAAAAAAATTTCCTACGCAAATTCCACATCAAGCTTATCGCAAGTTTGTTGAGAACTCGATTCGAATACTCAAAAAAAAATTCAAAGACAGTTCTGACGAAATGTTGCTGAAAGAAAAGTTGGCGTTGTGAAAAATGCCGACGGCCAACAATGAAGGCGCTATTTCACCACTCTACGAAAACCACTAGCGTATTCTGATCGAAATTGAGAAAGCCTGAAACTCTGCGTTGACTGTACATAGCGGTGCTGATACGTGGAGAAGCTGTACATGTATTACACCACAGCTTCTACTCGCTATAATGTATCGGATAGCCCGGGAAACCGACTCCTCCAATTTTCAGATCAATGAAAAACTAAATCGTATGAAAAAACTATTCTGTGGCCATGAATAGCTAAGTAGCTGATTTCGAAACAATTAGTGGCGATATCACAAGATATGGGTGCATTGTAGTGGCAGTGCATTCGAAACATCGTTTATACAACATCTCACCTCAGTTTTGTTGATAAGGATCAAAGCTTCGAGCACGGAGGAGAGAATCCAGGCTTCTTGAGCAGTTTTCATTTTCCCTCCAAGTCTCTACACTGTCTTAGACTTAACCCTAGAGGATGCCCCCGTACCTTGCGATTGGCCGCGAGTCTTTCTGCTAGCAGTCAAGTGGTATTATTCAAATAAAGCCTTCATCTTTCTTCAACAACAGTGACTTTTCGGAAGCTTTATCGGTCTCCTAGGATGGATATCCTTTCAGGATTTCACGGTCAATTCATGCACTGCTCGATTACTCACTCTAACTCTATTAATTTTTGAAACAACTCACATCTTCTTCACAACTTGACTTAATTTTTTTACTTGTGGCAGTAAAAAAAATCAGCCGTCGAAAATAAATAGTTGGTCTTCCACTTTGTCAACATCCCAAATAAAGACGAATCAAGAGATTTTGACACAAGTCATAAAGGAAAATATACACAAGGCTAGGCTTTCCAAGATTTTGTGTCAGTACATTATCACAAGAAAGAACCTTTCCAAGTAACACTTCCAAACAAGCAGGAACTTTCCGAAGAACTGAAAGTAAATGTAAAATTATGCCAGAGGTATTTTTTTCGTTTTCAGAGTAGGTTATCATCTCGAAACTTCCTGATCCTGATGCTAAGCTTGATAATAGTGAAGGTATCAGGTATTTGAGATTCCCTTCAAGATGCGCCATGAATCCAACATTCATACAAATAGCAGAGCCCTCTGGATGCATATCCGGTATACATAAGTCAGCCGTATCTGAGCATTAATCAGCAGACACAACAGATGGATCAGTTGGCTCAGAAGCAGCGTTCAGATAAAGCTGGCCATCGCCCACTCGAGAAGTAAAATTGAAGAAGCCCTATTTTTGTGTCAAAACTTGGGTAGTTTATCCTCCCAACAAGTAAGTCTTGTCACGGGTACGGCGCTTTGGCAATCATCAAAGACCGACAGATTAAGAGCGAGTGCGTTGGGAAAGGGCAGTCATGGTTGAGCCCTAGCGGTTCAACACAGTGACTCTTCTCATGCCCCTCAAGCCTTCTAGGAATTTCTTCTCACGCTCCCTTAATCGCAAACTCTGATTATGGATAAACCTGCCTTCCTATATCTTCCTCTCTATTCAAACACTTTCGGACAACTTATTCAGGGTTGTCATTCCATAAGTACAATCCTTTGACTTGTAATCTCACTGAGTACGTACCATCCCCGCTCTTAACCCATCTTCATGGTGCGATGTGATCGGATCGCGAAAGTACACAACAGGTCGAGGATGGAACGTCGTGATACCGTGTGAGCGAGCGCTCTCCTTGGACTGTGCGCCGACCGCTGACCGAAACCCGTTCGAAGTTTCGCACACGAAGGT